ACACAATAAAATAAAATAAAAAGTAAGTTGGACTGAAAATACTGGACAAGCTTTTAAACTCCTGACATGAAATGGGACTTGTAACAACCTCATTACAAATAAAATAGGAGAGGAAGGTGTACAAATTGCCTTTGATGTTTTAGACCAGGGATGAGAAACCTGTGGCACTTCAGATGTGGCTGACTCCATCTGCCCCAGCCAATGTGGCCAGTGGTCAGGGATGATGGGGACAGGAGTCCAGCAACATCTGGAGCCCAACAGGCTCCCCATCCATGTTTTCATTGTCTTGAGCAGTTAAAGTCTTGGATCATATACAGTATTACAATGCTCTTTTATGAAGGTGGTAAGAGGTTTGGTCTGTCCTCTGGCTCTTCAGGAATTAAAAACCATAATTGTTTCAGCTTGATAGATGCTGGTCCCTGTTGGAAGGAACAGTCAGCACATGCCCAGGCAGACCATCTGAAATAAGCCGAGCGGGAGAAAGTATTAAAACACTTCAGTTACCACCAGTCAGGGAAAGGGCCACAGTTGGTGTGCAAGTTATGTTTGCTTGCATATTAGCAATAAGGTAAACAGTTAAAATACAAATAAATAAAGTCAGCATAGCAGGTATATGCTATGCATAGCAGCATAGCAGCAGAGATTATGAGAATTGAAGTCCGTAGTTACCCAGTGATAGTTAAGGACAGGACAGGAGACTGAGCCGTTTGGTTACACTCCTCACTACAATATTTCTATTTAAATTATGGTAATTCTTTCTAAATTTATATCCACATATATACTTTAGCACAGGTTTCCTCAACCTCGGACCTCCAGATGTTTTTGGCCTACAACTCCCATGATCCCTAGCTAGCAGGACCAGCGGTCAGGGATGATGGGAATTGTAGTCTCAAAACATCTGGAGGGCCAATTATACTTTAGCATATGCAAATTTTATGTGAATTGGTGTCCTTTCTTTAGGTGTTGGTTAAAAGTTGCCACCCTAGTTGTAATGGTCAAGAACAAAAAGCATAAGTCTGCATAAATCTCCTACGCCATTTTAATGATAAAATTTAAAGCACGGATTGTCCATTGTTTGGCACACTCCATATGAATGATGCCATTGCAGATATTTTACTGTATTTATTTATTCATTTATTCATTCATTCATTCAACTTGTAAAACCACCCTTGGTCCATTAGGATCCCGGAGTGATGCACAATCGAAACAAGGCAAGCCCCACTTGATTATGAGAATTATGCCCCAAAGTATCCAACTCCCTGACCCCAAATGCCATTTCTGTGCAATTGAAAAGCTCCTGCATGTTGCAGCACTTGAAGTGCAGTAAAGGCTGTCCAGAAATAGCAGCACACTCCTGAAAAGTCATATGGGCTATTTACATTGCCAAATATACAAATGCTTAACGAACAATTGCTGCATCTGTCAGTATTGCAGAGGAGGAAGGAAACCCAACAGCTGTAAATTATCCTTTCGAGGAGGTACATAAAGCAATGACAGAACTGACATGTAAATGATGGAATTAGTTCCGAAGTACAATTGTGATTGAGTTATATATGGGGTTGCCACCTTTGGTTGGGCAAAATAAAGGACAGGTCAGGGGAGCAGGGATTGAGGGGCTATAATTACTTTACCTGATGCAGAAATGACTTCAGATCAATCCATTAGAACAATCAAAGGGAAGCTATCAGTAACTACAAACATTACAACAACAATTTTGAAAGGAAATCCTCCTCACCTGCTGAATTTCTGCCTGTCAGAAGGATGATAAATATAGAAACCCATCCGAAAAAGGAAAAAAGCGGAGAAAGAGATAGGAACAAATTCTACTTCTCTTCCTCACAGAGCTTTGCCTCCAACATCCTAACAGGGTTCACATAACTCCTCATTCTCCTGAGAGTTCCAATATATGAAGGTTATGATACTTTAATGCCTAGTCATGGACAGATGATGATGATGATGATTGTATACCACCCTTCATCTGAAGATCCCCAGGAAGTTCACAAAGGGATCAAAAATTGTATATTAATATGCACTTAAATATGTATCTTTGAATATGTTTTCTCTCAAAATAAGCTTTCATAAATCCTAAGCACTAGGAGAAAGTGCACACCCTATTTGCCCTGGTGACGTAAGTCCAGTGCTTTTTTTCTGGGGGGACGTAGGGGGATGCATACCCCTAAACATTTTGTGAATCTAAGTTTGGCCTCATTGAGGGGCAGTATTTCAATATGATGGGACGCAGGTGGTGCTGTGGGTTAAACCACAGAGCCTAGGACTTGCTGATCAGAAGGTTGGCGGTTCGAATCCCTGCAACGGGGTGAGCTCCCGTTGCTCAGTCCCTGCTCCTGCCAACCTAGCAGTTCGAAAGTACACCAGTGCTTCGAAAGTACACTTCCTCTGGCGGGAAGGTAAACGGCATTTCCAGGAGCTGCTCTCGTTCGCCAGAAGCGGCTTAGTCAGGCTGGCTACATGACCTGGAAGCTGTATGCCAGCTCCCTTGGCCTATAAAGCGAGATGAGCGTCGCAACCCCAGAGTCAGCCACGACTGGACCTAATGGTCAGGGGCCCCTTTACCTTTTTATTTCAATATGAGTAGGAAAATGAGAGTACTCCTAAACATTTTTTTAGAAAAAATACCACCTGTCTGTTATTGTGCCAGAAATTGAAGAAGCCAGAATACTCTAAAGTGTTAAAGAGATAAAACGAGGGAGAAATGATGAAATGAGACATAATAAATATTTTGAGTACAATCAGATAGCCGTGGGCACACACTCAAATTAACTGATGACAAAACAGTACCCCAGGAAATAAACGCATCTTAATGATAACTTTAAAAATTCTTCATCATACACTTCTTTGAACGTCGCTTTTTGCTAATGCACAAAAAGAAAGAAAATGGGTGGAGCGGTAAAGCATCAAAAAGACAAGTATGAATTGGCACATCACTAATATGAATGATGGAGCACAAGGAGATAAAAAGCCTAGGCTTTGAGCTGCAAAAAAAACCACAAGCCTGAGAAAACTACATCTCACAAGTGCAAACTACTCATTTGGGTCAAAGTCCAGTGATCAATGGCCTACAAGAAAATGAGGCAACTATGTGGCAAGATGGTGAAGGATTGTTACCCCAAGCTGCACTCTCAAATTATTCTTTAATATAAGCGTTTGTGAAGATTCTCAAATGGGAATGTGATACTCTAGTTCATGGGTCCTTTGGGGAACTGTAGAGTATCCTAGCCAAAGCGAGGAGTCATTGGGTTCATCAAATACCTAGTCTAGGGGACACTGCAGAGAAGACCATGCAGGGAACAACCTGCACTGCATGGAAGTTTATGGGGCCACTGGTGAGGTTTGCATCCTTCCCTCTAGATGCAGTGTAAGAAGATCTGGCTTCAGAATTTAGGGAGTTTGGGGGCAGATGAAGACAGAGATTGGATTGGAAAAGCAGTGGTGACCATTAGGCAGAGTGAGGTGATGACCTTGGGTCATGGATTTTGGATGTCATGTAAGGGCAAGCGATCGTTAGTTATTTTAATTTATGACTGTTGTATCTCATCTGACGAGGAGGAGAGAGGAGCTTGTGGGATTTTCTGCCAAAATATCTCAACCAGTCTTGAATTACTATAGGTTGTAGCCACAAACTTTACACTAATCTCAACAGACCCATTGAAATTAATGGATCTAAGTTATACATGTTTGAGAATATAAGTGGCTCTACTCTGAGTATGACTTACATTGGATACAACCCAAGGCAACATGACTTCGGGGAAAGAGTTCCATTTGCTTCTCTCTCTAGGGCAGCAAAATTCCTTTGGAAAGCCCCAAGCAGGGTTGCAGTGACAGACACATCCATGGGTGTAGCCAGGATTTATGTTGGGGGGTGCAGGACACCCACCTGTCGTCATTGCTGCTGCACCGTGAGTGTTGGGGAAGGCCGCTCCCTCTTCAGGCTGATTCCACCAGGCCTAGGTAGAAGCCTCACTGAGGCATTGGGACATCGCTGCTGCTGCACCGTGAGTGCTGGGGAAGGCCGCCCCCTCTTCAGGCTGATTCCACCTGGCCTAGGGGGCGGGGCCCAGACTCACCTTCGCCACAGCTTTAAGAAGCCTCACTGAGGCATTGGGACATCGCTGCTGCTGCACCGTGAGTGTTGGGGAAGGCCGCTCCCTCTTCAGGCTGATTCCACCAGGCCTAGGGGCGGGGCCCAGACTCACCTTCGCCACAGCTTTAAGAAGCCTCACTGAGGCATTGGGACATCGCTGCTGCTGCACCGTGAGTGTTGGGGAAGGCCGCTCCCTCTTCAGGCTGATTCCACCAGGCCTAGGGGCGGGGCCCAGACTCACCTTCGCCACAGCTTTAAGAAGCCTCACTGAGGCATTGGGACATCGCTGCTGCTGCACCGTGAGTGTTGGGGAAGGCCGCTCCCTCTTCAGGCTGATTCCACCAGGCCTAGGGGCGGGGCCCAGACTCACCTTCGCCACAGCTTTAAGAAGCCTCACTGAGGCATTGGGACATCGCTGCTGCTGCACCGTGAGTGTTGGGGAAGGCCGCTCCCTCTTCAGGCTGATTCCACCTGGCCTAGGGGCGGGGCCCAGACTCACCTTCGCCACAGCTTTAAGAAGCCCCACTGAGGCATTGGGACATCGCTGCTGCTGCACCGTGAGTGTTGGGGAAGGCCGCTCCCTCTTCAGGCTGATTCCACCTGGCCTAGGGGCGGGGCCCAGACTCACCTTCGCCACAGCTTTAAGAAGCCTCACTGAGGCATTGGGACATCGCTGCTGCTGCACCGTGAGTGTTGGGGAAGGCCGCTCCCTCTTCAGGCTGATTCCACCTGGCCTAGGGGCGGGGCCCAGACTCACCTTCGCCACAGCTTTAAGAAGCCTCACTGAGGCATTGGGACATCGCTGCTGCTGCACCGTGAGTGTTGGGGAAGGCCGCTCCCTCTTCAGGCTGATTCCACCTGGCCTAGGGCGGGGCCCAGACTCACCTCCGCTACAGTTTAAGGACACTGGTGCTGCCGCAGCAATTGTTAAAAATGTTTTTATATATTTTAAAGTATTTTAAAGGTGTTTTTACTTCTTACGTTATTGTACCACCGTGAACAGTGGTTTTTATCTATGTATTTTTATTTTGTTCTGTTTTATTGTGGTTTGGGGTGGGGATTGGTTTTGTTTAGGTAGAATTGTTTTCAGTTTGGTTTGGTTTTCTATTTTGTAAATGGAGGCTTGTATGAGGCTTGGGATTGCTACCGTGGAGGGCGAGGGAGGTATGGTGGTGGGGGCAGATGTTATAGGCGAAGGGGATCGAGATACGGATATGCTCGTACCCCTTCCAATCTGCGCCCCATCCCGAGGGACGAGGTAGGGTGAGCAAGGATTACTCACCTCCGTCACTGGTGTTGTGCAATGCCAGGTCTATAGGCAACAAAACCGCCACTCTGCGAGATTTCTTTACCTCGCAGGGGTTGACCTGGCTTGTGTGACGGAGACCTGGGTACGCGAAGGGGCAACAGTTACCTTACGAGAGATGGCGCCCCGGGTTTCTCCGTCCTCCACCAGTCACGGACTGTGGGCCGGGGGAGGGTGGCATTATTAATCCGGGAAGATTGTCCTTTCAGGGCTCTACCATCGCCATCGATCCCCGGCATTGAATGTGTTGGCCTAGTGTGGGGCTCTGAGGTGAGCTTGGCTGTCTGGCTGGTGTACCGGCCACCTAGCGCACCAGCAGCCACCCTGTCAGGCCTACTGGAGGCGGTGGCCGGCTGGGCCTTGGAGTTCCCTAACCTATTGGTATTGGGGGACTTCAACATCCATGCTGATGCCACTCCCTCCTCACAGGCTCTGGACCTGGTGTCTTCCATGGCAACACTAGGGCTCTCCCAGTTTGTTTCAGGCCCCACACATCAAGCAGGCCACACGCTGGATTTGATCTTTGGCGTAGGTATAGATGTGATCATGTCTCCTTCAATTAAGGTGCCATGGTCTGATCACTACGCTCTGAAAGCCAGGATTGACTTTCCACCCCCACCCTGCTTAGGTGGCGAGCCGATTTGGGCTCGCCCGCAGAGGCTGATGGACCCTGATAGATTCCGTCAAGCCTTGCGGGACCTTGCTCCCCTGGCGACTCATTGACTGAGCTTGTTGAGGGCTGGAATACCCAGCTCCTGGCAGCCATAGATGAGATCGCACCTAAGCGCCCTCTGCGACTCCGCAGAAACCGGGCTCCCTGGTTTACCGAGGAGCTTCGGAAAATGAAGCGGGACCTCAGACGGCTAGAGCGAGTATGGCGGGGTGCCCGTGACGGAGCCTCAAGAACATCTTATAGGGTTTTTATGAAAACCTATGAGATGGCGGTGAAGGCCGCTAAGAAGTCTTACTTCTCGGCCTCCATTGCATCCGCTAGCTCTCGCCCGGCGCAATTATTTAGTATAATTAGGTCTTTAACGTCCCTTGAAGGACAGCCAAATTTAAATAACAATCTGACACACAGCTGTGAGGCATTTGCGAGCTTTATCGCGGAGAAGGTCCTGTTGCTCCGCCATGACCTCCCTGCCAATTTGGATACAATAAAGGAACTGGAGGCCCCTCGACTGTCCTCGGGTCCAGTATTGGACCACTTTGATCGGATATCCCCAGCCGATGTGGACAGACTCCTCCGAGCTGGAAAGCCCACCACCTGTCCTCTTGACCCGTGCCCGTCTTGGCTGATTAGAGCGTGTCCAGGCGAGGTGCGGGCCCCTGGGAGATATCATCAATTTGTCCCTTGGCACCGGGATATTTCCAGGGGAATTGAAGGAGGCAGTGGTGCGCCCGCTCTTAAAGAAAACATCATTAGATCCCTTAGATCTATCCAATTACCGCCCGGTTTCGAATCTTCCATTCCTGGGTAAGGTGATTGAGAGAGCGGTTGCTGAACAGCTTGGTAGGTTTCTGGATGAAACATCGGCTCTGGATCCATTCCAGTCTGGCTTCCGCGCTGGTCATGGGACCGAGACGGCTCTGGTCGCCCTAACAGATGATCTCCGCAGGCAGCTGGATCGAGGCGGGTCGGGGCTGCTGATTCTTCTAGACCTGTCAGCAGCCTTCGACATGGTTGATCACGAACTCCTGGACCACCGCCTTGCCGACGTGGGGATCCAGGGCACAGTCCTTCAATGGCTGCGCTCGTTTCTCTCCGGTCGGGGACAGAGGGTGGCGCTGGGGGGGGCATTGTCATCCCGCCACTCCTTGGTGTGTGGAGTGCCTCAGGGTGCGATACTCTCCCCGATGCTTTTAACATCTTTATGCGCCCCCTCGCCCAGCTTGTCCGGAGTTTTGGGCTGGGTTGCCATCAGTATGCCGATGACACCCAACTCTATCTGTTGATGGATGGCCATCCTGACTCGGCCCCAGACACACTGACCAGATGTTTGGAAGCTGTGGCTGGATGGTTACGCGGAGCCGGTTGAAGTTAAATCCTTCGAAGACAGAGGTCCTCTGGCTGGGACGGGACGATATGGGATTGGGGGGGCAACTCCCATCTCTTGCGTGGGTGCAATTAGTGCCAGCACCGTCCGTTAAGAGTTTGGGTGTAATCTTCGATACCTCCCTCTCTATGGAGGCGCAGATTACAGCTATAACAAAGGCGGCATTTTTCATCTCCGCCAAGCTAAGCAGTTGGCCCCTTATCTCTCTCGCCCTGACCTAGCCACTGTGATCCACGCGACGGTCACCTCCAGACTGGATTATTGTAACTCGCTCTACGTGGGGCTGCCCTTGAGACTGACCCAGAAACTCCAGCGGGTGCAGAATGCCGCGGCGAGACTCCTTATGGGGTCTTCGCTGCGAGATCACATTCATCCGGTACTATACCAGCTGCACTGGCTCCCGGTGGAGTACAGGATCAGGTTTAAGGTGCTGGTTTTAACCTTTAAAGCCCTATACGGCCTAGGACCCTCGTACCTACGGGACCGCCTCTCCTGGTATGCCCCACAGAGGAACCTACGGTCTGCAAATAAAAACATCCTGAAGGTCCCAGGCCTCAGAGAGGTTAGGCTGGCCTCAACTAGAGCCAGGGCTTTCTCGGCTGCGGCTCCAATCTGGTGGAACGCTCTGTCACAAGAGACTAGGGCCCTGCGGGACCTGACATCTTTCCGCAGGGCCTGCAAGACAGAGTTGTTCCACCAGGCCTTTGGTCAGGGCCCAGCCTGACTCCCACCTCCGGCAACCTGCACAGAACTTTGCTTAACGGTTGCCATTAATTTGATTTTAATTAATTTTATAATGAAATGTTTTTAGAATGTTGATTATTTGATTGTTTGATTATTTGTTTGTTGTTAGCCGCCCTGAGCCTGGCTTTGGCTGGGGAGGGCGGGATATAAATAAAATTTATTATTATTATTATTATTATTGTCTGTATGGCTCTGTCTAGCAGTTTCAGAATGAAATGTCTCAAGAACAGTTGTTTTAAATGACATTCTTTTGACCCCAAGAAACTCAGAAAAATCTATCAGAATCTTTCTTTGAATTTTAGTTAGGTATTTTTATTTATTTACTTGATTTAGGGGGCAGTTGTGCCTCCCTGACCATGCCCATGGACACACCCTGGACCTCTTCATGTTCCTTGATTCTTCTGTACAGAACCTGTACATGCATGGAGATCAGGGTCAAGTCTGCTGGTGCAATTCTTCTTTCCCCCACCCCATATTCCATGGGTTGAATTCAATGAAGTTACACTATTGTGTGTTTTTGTGTAACAACTTCTGCTGATGCAATGGAATTTCCCTGCTCCCCGATGTGCTCCTAAATCTGATCCAGTGAGTTTGGGGAAAACCCCAGACCAGAGAAAGTTCTGTTGGATGCTTGCACAATGACTTTGCTGGATACAACCCCCCTGGTTTCCACGCTCCCACTCCCCAACTCCACATGTTCAGTGTCTTCAGTTTGTGTTTGCTAAGCCATATCAATAACGTAGAAAGAAAAGAAATCCTGGTAACACTTTACTGTTAAACCAAACAAGAATATTGCAAAATTTGAGGAGTAATAAATTGAATAGTTTTGTCTTTTTTACTTCACACCTTGTGTGTAACAAGAAGACATTCAATAAAACATGCAGAGGAAAGCTCCTGAAGAATCTCACAGCACATATTACCTCAGCAAAGATCATGTCATTCTGCCTGGCTGCTAAGCAACACCGCCCTCCAATTGCTCCTCTCATGGCTACTTGACCTTCATGCTAACAGTATTAGTTCTGCTGTACTTCCAACAGTCTGGTCATGTGCTATAAGCTATAGGAGTAAAAAAAAATTTTCCCTTTATCTTCCATCCTGAAGCCAAGAGTTCTCATCGAGAATGAGAACATCCCTGGCACATTCATTTTGTTATTGAAAGCAGAGGCTTATTTCCAATGACAAAAATGGCACCTTCCTATTCTGTGCTTTCCTATGCCCCATCAAATACAACTAAATAAGTTGTTTGTTTGTTATTTAAGCTGGATCCTTCCGTCAGTCTCCTTGGTATCCTTGACAAGTGTCCTGTACAGCTGACGGGAGCAGACATATATGCACTCTGCTCAGATGACATGATGTCTGCTATCAAAAGAAAAGTGGCATGGATAGAGGAAGGGCTAGACACAAAGACCTCAGACCTAACTCTAACCATGGAGGACTTTGTACAAGCAGCAACAAGGCTGCAGCCGTCTGGTTCCAAACCAGAACTGCTTAGATACAAACTAATCCAGCAGAGATTTGCTGCTTGATAAGGATCCAGCAGGACCAGAAAGGAAGGGATACATGTGGTTGGAACTGTATAATTCCACTGTATAATTCCATGGAATCTGGAAGAAATTTTTGATGTGTTGTTGTTGGTTCTGCTGGAGAAATGCAAACAGTGGATTCCAATGGCCAGGCCAGTGAGAAAAACTGAAAATGGGATCTAGGCATGGAACTGAGACTATTGGTTGCTTAGCTAGGTAAGAACTCTCTCAAGCTAGTCCTCAGGAGTTCTCAGCACCCTTGCTGATATATGAGAAGTTCAGGTTTCTTGAACACCCAGTGGAAAACCTTTGGATGCTAACAACCTGGGCCCATGAATATTTGGGTGGTGGTGCAGTGGCTGTGTCTAAGAGTGGATAAATAAAAATCCAGTTTCTTTGCCATAAAAAAAAGTTGTTTGTTTGTTTATTTTTATATAAAAAAGAAGAAACAATAACCATCTCACTGATACACAAAGAATGAAAAGCGGGTGGAGGGAAGAATTATGCAGATTTCTTACAGGAGGGAAATAGAGTTAAGGTCACTTTTACATGACATTGAATATTTTAAAATTTTAAGATATGTATTACATTTTAACTAAACCTAGGCCTACCCCTTCTTCTCTCTAAGTAATTTATATTCTAGATATGTCATGGGGGCAGTTATGAGCCAGCCGAGGCCTCTAATATAATAACTATCAGGAAATTGTCCTGCATTATTCATGTTAATTATGCTGAACCAAACACTGTGGACAGGAAAATGTATTTGCCAATGAAATATCTTTTTGGACTCAGAGATTATTAAAATTGATTGTATCAGGTTTCTTAAGATTAGACCCTGAGGCAATAAGGTTATCAAGAATGCCAAGGCTAGGACAGGGAGAACGGATCTCCGTCCATCGCTGAGTTGGATTTGTTACATCTGTTTGGTGTTTCCAGATGTAAACACAATAAGCTGTATCTGATGTAGCACTAAGTAACTCATTCCATTAGAACAAGGATTTACATTTTTTGCAACATAACGTTGTCCCCTCCCTCCTCCCATGCATCCCCCAAATCTGTTCTGGGCCTCGCCACAACGCTCCAGAGCAGATTTGGGGAAGGTGTGAGGTGGACGAGGAAGGAGAAGGGAAGATTTCTGTTGTGCACACACAATTCCTTTCACTAAGGGAACAAGTACACTGATACCACTCACTGGATTGTACATTATGCTAAGCATATTCAGCTCAGACTCATTGAAATTAATGGCTGCTACCACCTTATGTTCATTCATTGCAAAGGGTCTGCTCTGAGGGCTGGTCCACACTTGTCCCATGCCTAGCAGTGGTTTTCCACTTGACCCACACTTTCTAGGCATGTCTCTGAGTGGTACAATCATCATGATAAATAAAACAAACAAAGTTACAACTTAATGAAAGGCACAAGAAAATACATGTTTCAGAACTCTTATCAGTTGGGTTTTAGTTAATTAATCCGTTTAAATAAATTTGCTTCCTGAATCAAGAAGCATACTTTGTTCACATTTTTACTTTATAACCCTCTTTTTTACTTTTTGTTTATTTAAATGCATTTATGTCATAGCAGGCATCTTCAGAGAAGAAGCACTCCCTCTGATATTCAAGAAAAAAGGGCATGCCTCTTTTATGACGATGCCTACCATCCGTGGCTTTTGTCAGTACCTGTACTGAAAATGAACTATCTAAATCTGTTGTCCAATTAATTGGGGCGTATTTTAGGATACTATTTTCTCCTCACAGAGCTTAGATAATAATAATAATAATTTATTACTTATACCCCAGCCATCTGGCTGAGTTTCTCCAGCCACTCTGGGCGGCTCCCAATCGAGTGTTAAAAACAATACAGCATTAAATATTAAAAACTTCCCTAAACAGGGCTGCCTTCAGATGTCTTTTAAAAATAGGTTAACCATCATCCCCTCTTCCCAGGGAGCTCTGGGAATAGTGGTGATGTGTTGGGAATTGGAGTCCCTTTAACAAACTACAATTCCCATGATTCTTTGGTGAAAGCCATGACTGTTAAAGTGGTATGATGGTGCTTTACAAGTATGGTACCGATGAGGCCTTAAATTGAGATGCTAACCAGGAGGGCCTGGTAGGCAGGGCCACCCTACTACCCATGCAGCAAGGAGAGGTGACTGCCTCAGGCAGCAAGATCCACAGGGGCAGCAGATCCCAATGTAGACCTTCATTCCCCCTTTGTTCCTGATGCAGATCTTTCCTCACCCTTTCTTTCCTGGCAGGAAGGAGGCGCCATTTTGTGATTCCCCTCAGGTGCCAAAATGCCTTGGGCCCGCCCTGGCAGAGGAGATGTGCCCAAATGAGTACTTTTACTTCCAAAAGAAAAAAAAAGCACCTTAGTTCTTGTTTTTTTCCATTCTGCCAAGGATGGCTCAAATTAGGGAAGGCACACTCAGCATATCACCATGTCCATATCCCATTTTGCACCATAGATTCTAATAGCTCTCTAGAACCCCATTACGGTGATATCCTTGAGACTGTCTAACATAAAAAGCAAATTACCTCCCATTGGAGGTGGGGACCTGAGCATAACCGCAGACAGATTTATGGCCTTGCTGCAAAACACAGACACACTTGTTCTAGTTAAAATCTGTGGTCAGTTAAACAGATTGATGCTCTGAAGACACTTAACCCTAAAGGGCAGAAGGACAATGCCTGCAGTCCAATTCTTTATTGCTGTAATTCAGAAGGTATGTTTTACATAATTGTAATTGGAGTTACTGGCAAGTTTTTAATCTGGCAGGCATGCACCCAGAAGAACAATACAGAATTGCTCTGCCCAATCCCTCATGACAATAGTCTCAGTCCTGCTAACAGGATATTTCCTCTCCATTGTATTTTGAAAGACAAAGCAGGGTGAATCACAATCCCATCTGCACTGTGCATTTAAATCAGTATAAGACCACTGTAACAGTCATTGTTGTTTTGTTGTTGTTTAGTCGTTTAGTCATGTCCGCCTCTTTGTGACCCCCTGGACCAGAGCACGCCAGGCACTCCTGTCTTCCACTGCCTCCCACAGTTTGGTCACACTCATGCTGGTAGCTTCGGGAACACTGTCCAACCATCTCGTCCTCTGTCGTCCCCTTCTCTTTGTGCCCTCCATCTTTCCCAACATCAGGGTCTTTTCCAGGGAGTCTTCTCTTCTCATGAGGTGGCCAAAGTATTGGAGCCTCAGCTTCACGATCTGTCCTTCCATTGAGCACTCAGGGCTGATTTCCTTCAGAATGGAGAGGTTTGATCTTCTGGCAGTCCATGGGACTCTCAAGAGTCTCCTCCAGCACCATAATTCAAAAGCATCAATTCTTCGGCAATCAGCCTTCTTTATGGTCCAGCTCTCACTTCCATACATCACTACTAGGGAAACCATAGCTTTAACAGTCATTGCTTTCCCCCAAATAATCCTGGGAACTCACAGAGGGCACAATGAATACCTCTTCCCAGGGAACTCTGGAAATAGTAGCACTGTGAAGGGAACAGGGGATCTCAAAACAGCTCCCCAGGAATCTTTGAGGAAAGCCATGGCTGTTTAAAGCCATGATACTGCTTTAAATGTGTAGTGCAGATGGGACCTAGGACGCAGGCAACATAACTCAGGAGATCATTTGCCAACCGCTTTCTAGCCATGAGATAAGGAATAATAGGAACATAAAATTAAAAGGGATGTCACAGGACATCAGTCCCCTGCCACTGCAAGAAATCCATTCCCCCAGGATCCTTGTGCCCAGAAGGAGGGGAGAGATCCCCCTGCCCAGTTTTGCTGCCAGGTGGGAAGGGAGTCCCTCCCCCAGCCCAGGGGGTTGGCAAGACTTTGCAAGGGCTTCTCCTTAAGGAGAAAAGGTTCACTGCCAGGCAAGGAAGAGGAGATTCTGCAAGAGCTTCTTCTTGAGGAAAAGTCCTTGTGGAGTTTGCTGCCCCTTTCCTTGAGGAGAAGCCCTTGCAGAACCTCACACCCCCTCCTCATGGACACAGCAGCAGGGTGTTTTGCCTCAGGCACCAAAAGACCTCAGACCACCCCTGTGACACACAGACACACAGCCCATTTGTCAACCCATCAATGAGTTAAGTATAATTGTTTAATTCACACTGAAATAGAGAATGCCTATGTGTATTCCTGGAAGATCCCATTGAAGCTTGAGAAAGGCAAGAAGAGCTCTCTGAGCATCTTTAGCTAGCTGATAATTAACTACTGTTGTTCTCTGTCATGAATATTTAACTTTAAATCACATGGGAGGGTACTGAATTGCAAATTCATCAAATGACTGACTCCGGGAGCACACAGCCTCAGACAGTAGCCTTCTCTCCATGTGATTTTCACTGTGTAAACTTATTTTTGAGATGCTGAGCCTGAGTTCTTGCATGGAATTATTTGGATGTATCTTTGATATTTTTAATCTGTTTTGAAGAAAGTTCTGCAAGTAAAGTTTTGGATTGAATTTATGGGCCTTGATGACAATGGTTTATTTCCAAAAGGACTCAGCTTTTTATGCATACAGTCTCTTCAAGCTGCACAATATTAATATCTGCCTCAGCGACCACACTCACAGAGAGAAGCTCTTTGCACATCTCTCTCCTATTTTCATAATATATGTGTGCCTAATTCTGGAATCCTACGAAACGTGGATATGTTTAAGGGGACATGTTGAGGAGAGGCTAAGCCAGGGCAAAGAGGAACTGAATAGGAAGAAAAGATGGTCACTTCCTTCAGTATGGATTTCTCAGGGGACTTTTGCTGAGGCCTTGCACTGGCAGGCACACAATTGTCTATGGGCACAGCATTGCTTAGTCTGAATCATTTCATTCTTCCTCAGTTATATCTATTAAAAAGCTAATGTGTGTGAAACAACCTTAGACTTCTAAACAGCTTATAAAGGTGGAAATGTCCATATTTGTGACAGTATTCACTGTATCAGCACTTTTTTTTGCTGTCTGTGGCAGCCATTCTGTGATGGTACTCATAACACTTTTCTGAAGATATGAGTATCAGCACCTCATTTTTAAGTGTGTGTGTAGATGGGGTGTATCACTGCTCCAGGTGTGGTGACACACCCACAGGTCTCACCCAATGGTCTTGGAAGCAGCAGACAACACACTATGTTCCCCTGAGTTTACAATCATGCCTTTCATTTTCAGCTTCATGGTTTTTACAGGAAAACACTCAGTGGAGAAATGGCAAACCCATCGGCTGCATAATGTGTGAGTCTGCCCTTTTGGAAAGACGGTATTTTATATTTAACCACCTTGAGGAAAGAAAATATTTGGAAAGGTGACCACTGATTTTAAGCTTAATATAAATTAAAAATTCCACTAACTTCTTTATAAGTTCATCCTGATTTACACCACCAGGTCTGAGGAGAATTGGACTTGGCTTAAAGTCTACAGACTATCACCCACAGAATGGTGTTCTAGAAACTTCCAAAGGAAACTTCTGACGTCATCTAAGGGCAACCTCATCCATTTTCTCTCCTGTTCACGTTTATCTCTTGGCTTTTGTTAGTGTTTACTTGCTCACAGAGGTGGAGATTCTCTGTAATGTATATATTACAAACACACACACATACACTTTATGTAGAGATATGCAATTCAGGCACAAGCCTATGTATTTGAATGTCAGCCAGCGCAATTAAACCTTTATGGCAACAATGATACCAATTATCAGGTCAACTAGAGGCACAGTAATTCTTCTTAAGCACTTTAATAACCTTTTACCTGCTAAATATGTAAAAGAAGGTCAACCAGCATAATTTAAATATGGCTGTGGTCCCCTCGGCAAAAGGCAACGGCTGAACAGAGATAATTAATAAGCTAATAATGTCATCATTAATTGTTTCATAGGACAGCCTCCATCAATTATAATGCTGTAAGCACAGCGATGGGATGAAGAAAGTAACAGAATTAAAAGTTTACAGTGCTGACCATCAGTGCTTGACTGAACATATTTCACAACATCAGGCAGCGTCTAAGTGCTAAGCGGCAACAGAGCATGAAAAGAAATATGACCATCATGGGAGTGGATCTTTGAACGAGTCACTGCTATCTGGGCCAGCCTTCCCCAGCCTGATGTCCTCCAGATGTTCTGAACGACATGTTGGCTGAAGAGACACCAAGGCTGCATCCAAAATCCCACCCATAAATAGGAACAGTCTGGAACCACCTTGTGACCAATTACCATCTAGCTGAGATTAATTTAAATGACATTAATTTCCACTGGAAATGGGGATAAACCAAAGTTCTTGCAGAAAGGTGAGTTTTGTGGACAGATTTCAAGGAACAGTGATCCTGCAGCAAGTTTAAACTCTCTCTCTCTCAGTGGCTTCCTCACAGCCATTCACCATTTAGAATGAATGGCCAAGTACCAAGCACAGAAATGCCATTTAGTCCAGCCACCTGCTCTGCAGGAATCTTTTGCCCAGTGTGAAGCTTGAACTCACAACCCTGAGATTAAGATTCTCATGCTCTACCAACTGAGCTATCTTTGGGGTAGAGTCAGAGATAGTAGCCTTCTCTCCATGTGATTTCATTTTGTGAAGAGAAACAACCGAAGGGGGATGTTTTCATACATCTGAGCAGAATCATTTTTTATTTTCTAATTCTGTTGCCCAAAGGGTTGGGGATCTCTGGCATGGAGACCCTCAAAGTCATATTGAATATATTTTTGCCTTGCTCTTTGCACAGTGCTAGTGATTTAAAAGCCTGACAAAGGTCCATTATATTCCAAGCAACAACTGAACCCTTGCACCAGGGGGCAGAGAGGCGGGAGCAAATGTAAAGCAAAACTTATTGGAGATTTAAGGGCGGCAGGGGACTGGGGGCAGGACAGAGAACAAACATAGAATGTGTACATCACACTGTGTTAGAGGTTTTAGGACTTGGGAGCCTGCCTGCAAGCCATTTAAACCTGAGCAGCCAATGTTATTCCTTCGTTTTATGAAGAAATGCCAGTTTTGTTTCAGCAAGCCTGTCAACAAGACACAGAAGAGAGACAATTGGAACTGCAGCAGAAGATTTCTGGAAGGAAAAAAGGAATACATAAGGAAGGTGAAATTGCATGTGCCCACAGCTTTTTGATTCAGCAAAGGATGCCAGAGGTGTGTTGGAGTTTATTCCTCAGAAGCTGTTATCCTGAATCAAGGACTTAACATTTATGGGACAGAACTTAAATGTTAATTTGGACAAATTCAAAATTAGTATAATGTTTTTTGTTATATTCACAATGCCATAAGTGATTTTTATTACTACTATGTACCATATTTGTATTTGCAACATCTTAAATAGATGTCCAAAGAAAGATGTGCCGATGCTCAAAAAGCCTATCGCAAATCACTTTTGGTTAATCACTGACCTACATAAACACTCATTAATCAGAGACAAATGTTTGAGGCCAAAATGCTCACCTCAACATGAGTTGCATTTCCAGGCCAAGAAAGATGAAACCCAGCAACATCTCTAAAGGCACCGATGTTCTATATTATTGTGAAATTTCTCCTACCTACATCCAGGCAAATCTGTAAATCAGCAATGGGGATCTTTTTGCCCTCCAAACTGCAACTCCCATCGGCACTAACCACTAGCCATGCTGGCTGAGGCAAGTTAATGGGAGTTGCAGACCCTCCAAGTGTCCCTATTTTCCAGGGATGTCCCTGATTTAGAGAAGCCATCCCAGTTTCTGATTTGATCCCAGAATGCCCCACTTTTCCTTAGGATGTCCTTATTTTCACTGGAGAAATGTTGGAGGGTATGGTGTTATCCAACCCCTGAGTCGTCTGAAGGCAATCCTGTATAGGGAAGTTTTAAAAAATGTTTAACGTTTTTATATAAGTTGGAAGCTGCCCAGAGTGGCTGGGGCAGCCCATTAAGATGTGTGGGGTATAATTTCATTGTACACAGGTTGTACAATGACAATAAAGGTATTATTATTAAATAGTAAAGTGATCATTATGGAATGGGACATCCCTATTTTCTTTTTTTAATGATTTTTATTAATTTTCCAATAAAAGCAAATTTATAACATCATTAAACATCAAAAACTCATCACACATCTTTTTTTCTTTTAGACTTCCATCAACATGTCTGATAATTTTCCGTAATTATCACAAATCTTCACATTTCTTAATTTATATTGCACTATATATATCTTATCTTACCATGTTGTTTAAACAATATTTCTACCAAATCTTCTTACATAGCTTCTTGAAAACTTACAAACGTTATATCATTATCACAAATATTTTTAATATATTCTGTAAATTTACTCCAGTCCTCAGTGAATCTTTGGTCTCGTCGGTTGCGAATCCTCCCTGTCAATCTGTCCAGTTCCGCGTAATCCATTAATTTCTATCTCCATTCTTCAATCGTAGGCATTTCTTCTTGTTTCCATTTCTGGGCCAAAAGAGTTCTGGCTGCTGTTACTGCATACAGAAATACTTTCTGATCGTTCCTTTTTATTTCACCACCTAATATTCCTAATAGAAATGCTTCTGGTTTTTTAACAAATGTATATTTCAGTATTTTCTTTATCTCATTATATATCACTTCCCAGAAGCACTTCATTTTTTTACATTCCCACCACATATGATAAAATGTCCCTTCTTTCTCCTTACATTTCCAACATTTATTACTCACCTTATACATCCTTACTTAATTTAACTGGTGTTATATACCATCGATATATCATTTTCATAACATTTTCTTTCATTGTGGTACATGCCGTAAATCTCATCCCTTCCTTCCACAATTTTATCCAATCATCAAATTGAATGTTATATCCAAAGTCTTTGGCCCATTGAATCATAACTGATTTAACCTCTTCATCCTTCAAATGCCATTCTAATAATAATGTATACATCATCGATAATTTTTTAACTTCATTATTCAATACTTCTCGTTGAAACCTAGATTCTTTTTCAAAATAGCCTCTTTCTGCGACCTCTTTTCTAAACATTTCATTAATCTGAAAGTAATGCAGCCAATCGTTTACATATTCTTTCACTTCTTCATATGGTTTCATTTTCCACTTACTACCCTCTTTCTCAATTAAACTCCCATATGTTATCCACCTCCCAGTCATATCGATCTTTTTAACACTCATCACCTCTAATGGTGATAACCTGTGTGGTATTTTTGGTTCAAGTAGGTTTTTGTACCTACCCCATACCTCAGTCAGAGATCCTCTAATAATATGATTTTCGAAACCTTTATGCACTCGTTTTTTTTCATACCATAAATATGCATGCCAACCAAATCTATTATCATATCCTTCCAGATCTAACAAATCTGTATTTTCTAATTTCATCCATTCTTTCAACCAAAATATGCACGATGCTTCATAATATAATCTCATATCTGGCAGGGCGAAGCCTCCCCTCTCTTTTAAATCTGTTAACGACTTAAATTTTATTCTCGGCTTTTTGCCCTGCCAGATATATCTTGAAATCACTTTTTGCCACTCTTTAAATATTGCAACTCCTTTAATTATTGGAATTGCTTGGAACAAAAACAGCATTTTCGGTAACACACTCATCTTTATCGTTGCAATTCTTCCCCAAAATGATAATTTCATTCTACCCTACACCTCTAAGTCTCGTTTAACTTTATTCCATACTGGTACATAATTATTTTGAAACAAGTCAATATTTCTGGGAGTCAATACAATCCCTAAATATTTCACTTTCTTTACCACCTCAATCTCAGTCTGTTGCTGTATTCTTTCACTAGTTTCTTGGTCTATGTTTCTCACCATTATTTTGGTTTTTTTCTTATTCAATTTAAAACCTGCCACCTGTCCAAATTCTTCTATTTCTTTTAATACCTCTTTAATACTCTTTATGGGATTTTCTATCGTTATAACCAAGTCATCAGCAAATGCCTTTACTTTATATTGATTACGGCCAACTGACACACCTTTTATCCGTTCATTGTTTCTTATTGAGCTTAGTAAGACTTCCAGGACTGATACGAATAACAACGGTGATAAAGGACACCCTTGTCTTGTAGGGACATCACAATTTTCATCGGAGAAATGTTAGAGGTATAGAATCCAACCATCTGGAGGACCTCAGATTCCATAGATATATAATATCTAGAGCGTGAATGGGCAACAGCTCTGGTAATCAAAGTAAAAAGAAGCAATTGAAGTTTCTGTTGCAAAATGTAAATGTCTCTGCCAAGCAGGAGGTGATGTTAAGAAACAGCATCTAGGAGGGATCGCCAGGAATTGTGCACATCATCAGGGATGAGGGGTCTGTGGCCCTCCAGATGTTGCTGAACTACATCTCTCATCATCCCTGAGAATTAGCCGTGCTGGAGGGGGCTGATGGGAGCAGCAAACCAACAACCTCTGGAGAGCTACGGTTTCCCCCACCCCTGGATATCAGCAGACAGCTGTTGATTCTTATCTCACTTATCCCACTTTGAAACTCCCTTCCTTGAATTTCCTAAGACACTGAAGGACAATTGATAGTCAGTGCCAACTGGGGTGTCTAAGTGCCGTATGTGCCTTTGAAAATCTGCCTCTAAATCTTTTCTATTAATGCTAAGTAATAATGGATAGACTGTGCTTGACTGTAAATCAGTCTCCAGCTGCTGATGGTATTATAAACTTCAAGCAGGCATGTGCAATATTATCAGTACCAAGAGAGACTGATTTATAAGTTAACTGGCAAAGCATCTATCTCTGCTCATTACATTCTCTATAAATCTCTTCTGTTAAGTTATCTGCATATTAGTTTTCCCCAAAGGCATCCCTCACTCTTTCATGTTCCGTTCTCCTGATGACAGGCAAAGAAGTACAGGCTTCTGTTGCTTAGACCACTTTGGAACATGGTACACTTAAGATGCTGAAATGATTTGGGGTGGGAAGCCAAAACATCATTTCTAGGGCTGACATGTTTAATCAGTCAGTCAATCATTTAAGCCAAGGATGGGTAAACCTGTGACCTTTCAGATGAGGCAGGACCACAAGGGTGCCTGACCATTAGCCATGTTGGTGAGGACTAATGGGATCTGGAGGGCTATTGGCTCCCTAGTCTTCAGTTCATTTGAATTTTTCAGTGAAAAATGGGGGGGGGGGACACGTGACAAAAGCATTTCAAATTAATTGAGTAACATAATTTTAAATGCGTAATATAAAATACACTCATGAGTAAGTGGTATAAAGGTAAAGGGACCCCTGCCCATTAGGTTCAGTCATGGATGACTCTGGGGTTGCGGCGCTCATCTCGCTTTACTGGCCAAGGGAGCCATTGTACAGCTTCCGGGTCATGTAGCCAGCATGACTAAGCCGCATCTGGCAAACCAGAGCAGCGCACGGAAACGCCGTTTACCTTCCCGCTGGAGTGGTACCTACCGTATTTACCTACTTGCACTGCGTGCTTTCAAACTGCTAGGTTGGCAGGAGCAGGGATTGAGCAACGGGAGCTCACTCTGTCGCTGGGATTCAAACCGCCAACCTACTGATTGGCAAGCTCTGTAGTTTAACCTACAG